GCAAGGGTATGTGGTGGCAGCGCGCACACCGCAGGGGGTGTTGTCGAGGGGAGCGGCCTGCCGTCTGCGGCACGCCCGGAGGGGGGGGTGGATGTGAGCGGGGCATGCCTTCGTGGCAGGCGGCGGGGCTTCCCAGAAGCCCCTCCGGACCTTCTGAGAATCTGCTCTGCGCTATCGCAGGAGGCTCTTAAGACTCCTCACTGAGGGCCCGAGGCCTTCCGAGTTTTCTTGAGAAGGCTCGCCCTTCGGAGGCTTCTTGAGAAGGCTCGCCCTTCCCTATACGTAGTTCCCCTGTGGGTTTTCACCGCCGCTTCCAGGAAGGCGGAAGGAGGCCTCGAAGCAGGCGGGGGGCTGATCAGAAGGGAGTCATGGGGGCCTCCAAGAGGGCTTCTTGGAGGCCGGGGGGGGGGCTTCGTGGAAGCCTTTCCTGGCTTCTTGGAAGCCCTCCGCCCCGGGGGGGGGGGGGCTTCCTGGAAGCCCCCCTCGCTTCCGAGACGCCCTCCCACGTCCAGCGCGCCATCTGCCTCCTGATGGGGGCTGGCGGGGCCTCTCACTGGGCTTGGGGCATGTCCCTCTACAAGAGGAATCTTTTTCAATAATGGCGCAACAATAGTCTGGTGACGATTGTTTGACGATGTTGGACTATTTGGGAGAATGTTTTGAGTATTTCCAACTTGTCTTCCAGCATCCGCCTGTAGGAGGACATGCCCGACCTAACACTGGGCCCAGCGCCTGCGCCCCTTTGAGCCGCGCGGGGGCGCTCTCGTCGCACCGAGGGGGATGACCTGGCAGGACGGAGTTGCGGTGCGGTGGGTTCTCGGCGTGACGCTGCGGCGTGACCCTAAGCGATGGCGATGGCTCTTGTCCGAATCCTCTGGGTCGCGTAACGGCCGTTATCTGCCCCCCCCCCCCCCCCTCCCCCCAGCAACGGGAGCGCTCGTACGTGGAGGGGGGGTCGGGGGCCCCCAAATGGGGTGGTGACCACACCGTGTGGTGAGTCGGCGGGGATTCGGGGTCAGCGCATTGTTTCGAGGACTTGGGCCGTTCTCCGAGGATGTCTCGAGTGACTGGCCTCCGAAGCCGTGTGGTGACGGACCCTGCGGTAAGGTCTCTAGGGATTTCGATGTCACCGCACCGCTGGGTCTGTCAGCACACGGTTTCTGGACCAATACCCCCCCACATTCAAGCAGTGGCGAACCGTCTTAGATTGCCTATAAACCTACCAAAGGATGTTCTAAGAACCTTTTGTGGTCTGCACGGGATGTTGTCAGGCCATTTCTGGCTGAGGCCGTCTTGCTTTAACACATCGGTGTTAGGTTATAAGACAACTGTTTGTGTCTTTCGAGCGTTGTTGGATTCTAAGAACATGTCGTTGTAGGCCGCTACAGTCGGGGCCCTGAAGAAGGAACCCTTTTCGTTGGGGATGGGCTCCGCGTTCCTTGAGTGTTTCACAGCTTGGCTCAGGTTTTCCTTCTGTTCCCGATAGGAAATCGAAGTTTAATTTATGGAAAAAAGGGACTTCGTTCCTTATTTAGGGTTCCTTAGGTCAACGCCCCAACTGTAGGAATGCTGGGACGGTTGGTCCCAGCTCAACACACGTGCTGGTCCTTGCGCGCGCGCGTGCTGTGGCGATCGCAGCGCACCCGCGCCCCTGTCGTGCCCCATTGCCGCCCTGGCGCCAAGGCTGCCAGAGCGGATGTATAATGACGGGCCTGCTTCCCACCACCACCGCAACCAGAAGTTGGAGGGGGGAAGGAGGTGGATGACGAGGAGGAGGAGGAGGAGGACGAGGAGGAGGACGAGGTGGTGGAGGAGGAGGAGGACGAAGAGGAGGAGGAGGAGGAGGAGGAGGAGGAGGAGGAGGAGGAGGAGGAGGAGGAGGAGGACCCCCTCCCATTCCACCATATGGTGGTGGTGGTGGTGGTGGTGGAAAACAGGCCCATCATATAAAACTATCTCCCTAACGTGGGCATTCAAGGTTGAACGCCGCCTTTGGCTCAGAATCGGCCAGTATAGAAGGATCTGGCGATCGAAGAGCGCTGATCTTTCAAGGTGAAACGTCGAAAACTGGAGCATATACATTACCAGCTGCGGGCGGTTTACCAATTCCAGGGATTTTTTAGGGTCGGGGGCGTCGTCGGGGTGGTGTGGTGTATACTTTTATAAAATCCGTTTCCCGGGGTAACAACGAAACATGTATACACCAGGATCCCGTATACACCAGGATCCGCTTTCTTGTCTGCAGGTTTCAGTGCAGGGCCAGAAAGCGTAGGTGTATCGAGTGGCCTCAGACACCGACAGCCGGGTCGTGACGAGACGAAGCTGCCGTCCTGTGGCCCACGCGCCCAGAGGGGGCGAACCCTTGGGGGCCGCACATTACACGCCCTGCACGCCGAACCCCCCGTGGCGCCGTGAAACATAATGACTCAAGGTGATCGTTTTCTTACTCATTGTTTTGCCGATCGGCGCGAGCCCTCGCACTCCCCCCTCCCCCCCTGGAGTTGATCCTGGCTGTTTTTGTCGCCTGTTTCGAGCAGGTGGAGTCTCCTCCATAGGACGAACTGTTTGCAAGCAGTCGCATCAAGCAGAGGTCCGGAGCCAGACACCCCCTCCCTCCCCCCCCCTTGCCGCCTAATGTCGAAACGCCAAAGAAGAAAACGTTCACAAGGTTTTGGTACGTTTTCGGCTTTTGCAGGCCACCACTGGCCACTGGACCTGGAGATCGCGTCGTGAACAAGGCACGACGGGCGGCTTTTTGCTGCGTTCGGCCTCTGAGGGGCCTCACCAGGTCCCGGGGCTGTCCGCAGAAGTGGCTCGGGACGAACAGCTGGTCCCAAGGAGGGTGTCCAAACCTCTGGGGGCCCACGCAGTGAACAAACATTGTGACGTCGGGGGACTGGGCGCGAAGGAGAAATCATTGAGAACAAACGAGCCCCTTATACCCTAGTAGCACAGTGAAGACGTGGCCTCGCTGAGGTCGCCGTCTCTGCATTTGGGATGCTAGATCTGAGAGGAGCTTGGCCTCATACATCTGCAGACCAGAGCCCCTGTCCCTGATGCCCTGGGCCCTCCTGACTTTAGGTCCCCTCTCAAGGGGTCAGGGGTCCTGTTCTTGGCATCGCTCGGACGTGTGTATTGTTCCTTCGGCGAGGACCATCGAGGAACATCCTTGATCATGTCGCCGAACAAACACACACACACACTTACACACACACTTACACACACTTACACACACTTACACACACTTACACACACTTACACACACTTACACACACTTACACACACTTACACACACTTACACACACTTACACACACTTGAACACACTTACACACACTTACACACACCGACACACACTTACACACACTTACACACACTTACACACACACTTACACACACACTTACACACACACTTACACACACTTACACACACTTGCACACACTTGCACACACTTACACACACTCACACACACTCACGACGACACTACACACAATTACACACACTCACACACACACTCACACACCTCTCACACACACTAACACACACTTACACACACTTTACACACACCTTGCAACACTGCACACACTTACACACACTTACACACACTTACAACACACTTAGCACAAACATACACACACTTACACACACTTACACACACTTACACACACACTTATCACACACTACCACACACACACTTACACACACTTACACACACTTACACACACTTTCACACACTTACACACACTTACACACACTTATACACACTTACACACACTTACACACATTTACACACATTTACACACACTTACACACACTTACACACACTTACACACACTTACACACACTTACACACACTTACACACACTTACACACATTTACACACACTTGCACACACTTACACACACTTACACACACTTACACACACTTACACACACTTACACACACTTACACACACTTACACACACTTACACACACTTACACACACTTACACACACTTACACACACTTATTCACACTTACACACACTTGCACACACACACGAAACCGCAAACAAAACACAGGGACTGGACGTCCGAGCGATGGCCAGTGCTGCTGCTCCTCGAGGGAAAAGAGGAGCCCAGGAGCTGGACCGCAGGGCGGGAGGAGCCCTGGGGCACTCGGCGCGCAGGGCCGGCGGGGCACCCGGCGCGGCCAGAGCACACGCCGGGGCGGCTCCACGGTCTTGGCATCGCTCGGACGTGTGCATATTCGTTCCTTCGGCGAGGGCCATCGAGGAGCATCCTTGATCATCTGGCGAGAAAAAGCTACGCACGACACCGAAAACAAAACACAGGGATATGGACGTCCGAGCGATGGCCAGCGGTTCTGGACGCCCGAAATGGGTACTGAAAGAATGGGTACAATGTCCAACAACAATTCCTGTTCTTTTCCAACAGGATTCGCTGTCCGCGCCGCCGCGGCCTGTGTCCATTCGAGACAGAAGGCCGCCTGCCCAACAGCGGCCGCGGTTGGCTTGGGACAACACTTGTTGTTGGGCATAGTGCCCATTCTTTCCGTACCCATTTCGGGCGTCCAAAGCGGTGGTCTTCTGGCCCGAGCCCTGGCCCGAGAGGGGAAGCCCTCCCCCGCGCTGCTCCGGGCCACGGCAGGCCAGGGCTTCCTGCCGGACGCGCGGCGGGAGGAGGGCGAGCGGGGAGCGGGGGCTGCGTCGGTCGGGAGGGGGGAAACACAGCACACGGGCACAATTATACTCGTCGCGCCGACTCCCAGGAAGATGTGGGGAGAGTATGGGAAGCGAGGAGGAAGACGCACACCCAGAAAAGATTTGACAATCTCAAGAATCCTGGGAGTTGTGTCTAGTTGTTTGTGTGTCACTGGGCCCCTCCATTCGGCCGGCGGTCGCAGTTTTCTCGGGCGGTTTGCTTCGGAGCCCCCGCTTGCGGGGACCCGAGCTCCCCCGCCACGCTCTCTCGCCAGCCATGGCCGCGGAGGGCTCGCCTCCGAGACCATGACGGAGGAGGAGCGGGAGGCCCCTGAGAAGCAGGGAGACGTCGAGGAGGCGGGCGAGGACTTGCGCGAGGACGAGGAGGACGAGGAGGAAGAGGAGGACGAGGAGGAAGAGGAGGCGCCCGCGGCCGCCGACAGGGAGAGGATCGATGCGGAGGTGGCCAGACTCCGATCGCACTGGACGGTCGGGGTCTGCAGAGGCGCTCTCGTGGAGTGGAGCTGCTTCCGGGTGGAGGAGGAAGCGCGCGGCGCGTTCGCCGCCGGAGCCCCGCTCTCCAGAGTGCCCGGTGGCCACATGTGGGAACCTCACCCCCACCCCCCACGATCTCTCAAAGGGGGGTTGGGGGTCCCTTCGTTCGGGAGGCCCCGAGCGGATCGAACCCCCGCCCCCCCTCAGAAATCGTGGGGGGCGGGGGTGGAGTCCACGTGCGGAAACACGCAGGTGCTTTTTGCCCCGGGTGCGGTGCCCGCCGAGTTCTTCAGCCTGGACTCGGTGGACATCGCCATGATACTGCTGGCGTGCGACACGGGGGAGACCCCGGACCGGGGCGGGGTGGCCGAGGCGATGCGGGTCGGCGCCGTGCCTGCCGTGCCGCCGGACCGTAGCCTTCTGCAGCAGTGGCTCGTGCAGAAGCTGATGCGGGCCGCGTTCACGAGGAGGACGGTGAGGTTCTGATGGCCTCCCAGATGGGGTCCGTGGAGCTGGGGTCGGAGAATCGCGCCGCGCTGCCGATGTATCGACGAGGGGGCTCGATGTGGACCCCGATGTTCTCCACGCCGACGTCGCCCATGCGTCGCCGACGTCGGCGAGGCATCGCCGATGCATCGCCGACGTCGGCGATGTGGCGCGATCCTGCGACCCCATCTGCGCGGACCCCATCTACACCCTGCGAAATGCTTAAGAAATCATGGGTTTAGAAATTCATAGTCTCAGAACTTGAATAAAAACCCAACATTTCCATTAAAACCTTAAGATGTACATTGGAACGTTAAGAATAATCGAGACTCTGGCCGAAAACTCAAGTTTTCTTAAGCATCGCCTAAGGTGTAGGAGGCCTCTACAGGTTCTTCTCCACCTCCCCGCTGCGCGGCACCTCCCTCTGCTTCTTCGACGTCCGGCGCCACCCCGCCGTGGCGGGCCACGTGGCGCTGACGCTGGACGACGCGCCCTGCCGCCTCGGGCCCGGGAGCTCGCGCGTCGCGGAGGTGCGCGGGCTGCTGCAGCTGCACGGTGCGCGTGCCACCTTCATGGTCGTTGGCAGATTTGTGGACGGGCACGAGGACCTTTTTGTGGAGTGCAAGTTGCGAACGAGGCGTTTCCCCATGCGACCACCGATGTGTGTGTGCCCGCGGCGGGAGCACTGCGCTGCACCGGGGGGTAAAGGCCAATCGCTTTGAAGACTCTGAGTGCAACAACGCCTACGCAGAGAGGGCTGCCTAGGCAGGTTCAGCGCAGTACGAACCGCAAGCTAAGGGCAAGCTACATGTACCCAGAGGATGTCCCACGCCGTGCTCATCAGTGCTATGTCATGCGCAATGCAATGCAACCAACGCAGTGCGTGCGATGCATTGCTCCTTGATCCAGCACAGCGCACGTTCGTAGCACTCAGTTACCATGCCAGCCATGAAACCAGGCCAACGCAAGTTGTAGACGTATCATTCAACGCAGGGCAATGCAATACGCATAACAACAAATCTGCACAATGCACGGCATTGAATTTCAATGCAAGTAGTGTTGCGCAGGGATCTGCGAATGCAGTGCAGGGCAACGGATGCTAGCGCAATTCGAAGCAATACACGGCGATCCGATGTATTGTAATGTGGTGCGTTTCAACGCCAAGCAGTGTAAAACAGTTAACCGAGACCAGTGCAAAGCGGAATAGTGCAAAGCACAACAATGCACATGCAATGCGCTGCAGCACAATGTATTACAATGTGGTGCAGTGCAGTGCAGTGCAGAGCAAGTCTGCGAAAGCGCTGCCGCGCAGTGTCGAGACATGCACATGCAGTGCAGTGTCAAATTGTGCAAAGCAGTGCAAGAACCGCGAAGAGCCTGAGGAGCTTGGGGGAATCTGCTGCGGGACCTCTGGGGGAACACGTGAGGCGTCCCAGAAAAGGCCTCGCCTTCGAGGATCGAAGGAGTTGGCATATCTTCCCCGGTCGGCGGAAGGCGGCTGAAGTAAAACGGGGCCGCCTCCGCCGGCGGAAGTTGGCGGAAGGCCGGCAGTAGCCAAAGTGCGTCCCCGAGTTTCGATTCAGGGTTTCCGGAACCCACCAAGTGGGGAAGCCATGGGGCACCCGTGGTATTCCAGGACGCTCCCACCTGGGCCACCTAGATGGGGTCGGAGTAGATGGGGTCGGAGGATCGCGCCGCATCGCCGATGCACCGGCGATGATGCGGCTCGATGTGGAGCCCGACTTGCTTCACGTCGACGTCGCCGATGCATCGCCGGCGTCGACGCTGCATCGCCCGCGCATCGCCGAGGCATCGCCGAGCCATCGTCTGTGCATCGGCGGTGCGGCGCGCCCTGCCGGCCCCGGCCATCGGCGGCGAGCGAGGGGGGGGAAGCGAGAGAAGGGGCAGGCTCTCGCAGAGGGCCCGGCGGCCCCTTCGGCCCACCGAGAAGTCTCCAGGAGGAGGAGGAGGAGGGGGATGGGGAGGGGGAGGAGGAGGGGGAGGAGGAGGAGGAGGAGGAGGAGGAGGAGGAGGAGGAGGAGGAGGAGGAAAAGGGGGAGGGGGAGGGGGAGGAGGAGGGGGAGGAGCGCGGCAAACTTCTCAGAGGGCGGGGGGGGCTTCGGAGGAGTCCCGCCGCGCTCTGAGCAGGCCTTCCTCCTCCTCCTCGCTCCGCCCCGCTCGCTCGCCGCCGAGCCTGCTCGGGCCCCATCCGGGAGGCCTCCGCCGGGACACGCGCAGACAAATAGGGCACAGACAACCAGATTCCCCAGAAGTTCGCCCAAATTTTTGTTGGGCGTTTGTCTTCCCCCCCCTGCCCATACTTTTTTTGTGGGGGATCGACGATTCATCGTGTCCGTGTGTTTCGTCCCCTCCCGAACAGACAAATCGACACAGACAAGCAGATTCCCCACAAAGTTTCCCACATCTTTTCTGGGCGTCTGTCTTCCCCTCCCCCCCCCCCTGCCGCCCCTGCCGCCCACATTTCCCCATCTTCTCTTGGGGAATCGACGATTCCCTAGAAAAATCAACAAAATCCGACGCTTCCCAGATTCCCCACAAAGTTTTCCACATCTTTTCTGGGCGTCTGTCTTCCCCCCCCTGCCTATAGTTACCCATCTTTTCTTGCGGAATCGACGACCCCCCAGAACAATCCTCAACACTTCGACGTTCCCCACATTCTCTGGGGAACACTTCCCCTGCCCCGGTGTGCCTCTCTCCCTCCCGGGTCCACGGACAAACCCGTGGGTGTGCCCGCCTGGGTGTGGCCCGCCTGGGTGTGGCCCCTGGGTGTGCCCCCTGGTGCCGCAGACCCCTGGGTGTGGCCCGCCTTTGGCTCCCCTCCCTCCCGCTGGTGTGCCCCCTAGGTTCAGGAGGGAAAAAAACACACAGACACAATTAATCCTCGATTCCCAGGAAAATATGGGAAAATATGGGAATTGGGGGGGAAGACAAAAACCCAGAAAATATGAGAAAATATGGGGACTATTTTTATTTGTGTGTATTTATTTGTGTGTCCTAATTTCCCTTTATGGGTGCGCGCGAAGCGTGCCGGGCGCCGCGCGCCCGTCGTGCAGCGGCCCCCCGGGGGGCGGGCCGCGGCCCTCCTGCTCTCTCCGCGGGCGGCCGCCTCGTGGAGGGCGCGGAGGGCGGAGCGCCGCGCCGTCGCGCGTCGTGCGCGGGCGCCGTGCGCGGACTTTTTTTTTTTTTTTTGTTTTTTGTTTTTTGTTGTTTTTCTCTCTCTCTCTCTCTCTCTCTCTCTTTGTTTTATATATATATATTATAATATATATATAATATATATATTAGTATACGTACATCTATGTGTGTATATGTACATTTTTTTTTTTTTTTATTTATTTTTTTTTTTATTTTTTTTTTTTTTTTTTTTCTCTCTTCTCTCTCTCTTATTATTATTATCATTATTGTTATCATTGCTATTATCATTATTAGTATTATTAATATTCGTATTCTTATTATTAATCGTAATACTATTACTATCAGTATTATTATTATTATTATTATTATTATTATTCTTATTCGTATTATTATTATATACATACGTTTGTATGTATATATAGATATACCTAGCTCTCCTCGCTGCTGCGGCTCCTCCTCGCCCTCCTCCCTCCTCGTCCTCCTCTCCCCTGCCTCCTGCTCCTCCTCCTGCTCCTCCTCCTGCTCCTCCGCCACCTCCGCCTCCAAGGCACACACACACACACACACACAGCTCTCATTTTCCGTACTGCGCGCAGCACGATGGGGTCCATTTGGGTTTCCCAGGTCTTCTGTGACACCCGTGGGGGGTACATAAACGATCGTTGCAATGGGAAGGGATGGGAGGGAGGGGAGGAGATCAGATGTGGCGCTAGCGGACCTAGCTTGCCCCCCCTCCCCTCTCTCCCTTCCGTCGCTCTCGTTGTCTCTCTCTCTCTCTCTTATTATGTTTTTCTTTTTTTCTCTCTCGTTGTCTTTCTCTTGCTCTCTTTCTCTTTCTCTTCCTCCTCGACCCTCGCTCATCCCCCCGTTCCCCCTGCCTCTCTCCCCCTCGTCTCCTCCCTCCCTCCCTGCCTTCCTCCCTCCTTCTCCTTCTCTTTGCCCTCTTCCTTCCCCTTCTCCCCGCCTCCTTCTCCTTCTCCTTCTCCTCCTCCCTGCCTCCCTCCTCCTCTCCTTTCTCCTCCTCCTTCCCATGTGTTCATACATCTTGCGATCGAAATCTCACTTCTGAATAAGTAGCGCTAAGACTGCACGTTTGCCGCGCAGTTTCTTCAGTTGAAGTGTCGCCCATGGTGCCCGCACTTGTCTTTAAGCATGGGGGGTCT